GATTATAGTAATACACTACAATCTTGTGTAATTAGTATTATAGCTATTGTTGTTTTCTAATTTCTTGCTTGCTGTCTTAGTTACTAACAAGTCTAGACTTTTTTCCCCTCTCTACATAAACAGTTCGATGGTGTTCATTGCCAATACTAGTGAGTCTGTTTTCTGCTCATAGATTTTGCTTCACTAAAGTTTCATTGTAGTTTATGTCTTTATGATTCTACAGTTTGTGTATTTTTGTTTTGTTAGATAGCTGTGGGCAGCTGTGGCAGGCGGCCAGCACCGAAAACACCGACCTATATTATAGATATGCATACACCATAGAATACTGCTAGTCTTTGAAATCGATTTCAATAATTGTAACCCTTAAGTTGAATCGATATTTATTAAATGTTGAAAATGCAAAATGGGAAACTTCCTAGAAACAACGCCTAAACATTAGGTAAAACTTTCCACAAGATGACAATGAATATATAAGTGCATATACAAATATAAAATATGCTAACGTATTATTGTCAGATAAAATGTTTACTTATAAAATAATGATATTGTTTTGTTTATAAAAAAATATTTTAAAAATAATATAAGTTTATTTGATTCATTTACATCATATATTTTTTGTCTGCCGGCACAAGATGGAAACATATCATTTAAAAAGAAAAAAAAAGTCAGGTTGGTCACATTCAAAGGCCATGTAATGTTAAAATCATCAAAACTAATATGATATGAATGTGCAATGTTAGAATTATTTTATGATATTTATTTGACGGGAATAGGAGAGTTATGACTTTGTTATTTTTACAAGGTTATTTTATACACAATTTCATGATAATATGTAATCTTATTTGTTCACTTTAGATTTAAGTCTTTACAATTTTATTTTTAATTATTATTTGGAAGACCTCTCAATTATTAGATTATGTGTTTACTTTATAAGTTATTATTATTTTTTATTTTATTGATGTATGACCTTATTTATATATCCTAACATATAAATGTTAAATGAAATCAAGGGACAATCAGACCTAGCAAAAATGAAATTCATTATAGATCCATCACCCTTTTTGTCGACATCATAGATCTTTAATATTTGGCAAGTTCCTCACTACTTCTGATACTCAAGTTTAAGTTAAGAGTTAAATAAGAAAAAAGGTAGAGTAGAAAAATGTTATTTAGATGAATAAAAAGATCTCTACTTATTATCTAAATAAGTAAAAAGATAAAGTACATACAAAAACTATTTTAATATTAATTAAAATGTAATTGTTTAATCTTTTTTATAAAACAGAATTGTTTTCTAAAACAATTATCTATATTATAAACATTAAAACAAGAAAAAGAGAAAAATCCTTTCTCTCGTATTCTATTACAAATTAAAGGAAAAAAGTGTGTTTTTTTTTTTATATCCTAAAGAAATGTTTTCGTTAAACTTTATTTCTATGCAAAGAATGGTTGTTATTCTTCATTTTCATGGCTCTCCGAAAGCACATTATTGACACAGTTCTTTTAACTATATATGAGTTGGATCGAAAAGACTTCAAATAAGGAGTTGAAAACGTTCACGACAATTTCTCTTGAGACATCCATGGAAACACCACACTCGCAGTTGTACATAGCTATGTACCCATGGGACACATATCACCATATCTTCACTTAGCCAACAAATTAGCAGATAGAGGAAACAAATTAAATCTCTTTTTTCATACCCAAACGAACGAAGGTAAAGGTGAAAACATTACGACCTCTATCCACTTTTAATAAATAAAAAAAAAATATACATATATAAAGTGACTCCCCTAGGCCTAATAATTCACCATTACTTTTTTTTTTCTTAATGCGCAATCCAACAAAATATAGTAATTATTTACCGTTTATTTATATAATACTATAAGATATTATGTTTTCTAATAACATCAATATTGATAAATAGTAACAAATCAAAAAATTTGGTAAGTGAAACCTTACTTGTTAAATTTTACAATTTTGTTACCAATATTGATATTATTAAATTTGATAATGTATCTTATAATATTTTGTAAATAAATAATAAATAATCACTCAAAACTTTGTTGAATTATACATAAAAGGGAGAGCAACCCAATACTAAAGCGTATCACTTTATATATATGCATTTTTCAGGAACAAGGAGAAGCGAGAAGAGGAATCGATTGTATTTCCTCCTTTGTTCCCCATGGGGATAAAAAGCACCAAATTTGATGACTTATTAAGGGAAAATCGCTTTCTTTATCTTGTGGTCGACTGCAATTGAAAGATTCGTTCCTGTTTTAGGATTGGGGCGGCGTCCGCCCACTAATGTAAAGATTGGTCGGGGGAGAGGTCTTTTCGACAAAAGAGAATTTCTTTTTGATTGAGTTCCAGGCTTAAGAGCCGAATTAGCCATTGGGATTGGTGTACAGACAAGACTGATTAAGATTTGTAATTAGCTGCAATAAAAGAACAGCTGCTATTCCGACATCTGATTATAGCACCATCTGATTAGCAGCAATCCTTGATTGCTTTTGACTAGTTAAGTTAAGGCTGCTTTACTGATGAGGATTTTCGCAAACCTATCACTTGGCAAGTGAACCAAGTTTCGAAGTAGTATTTAAAGATCGTCCTCAGGGATTTGAGTGATTAGTAATTCTTACTCTAATGATTTATAAGAAAATGATGTTCAAATTTCAGATGAGTGAAAATAGATTAAAACAACACAATAAAACAAATGTAATAAGGACAATGATTAAGAAACAAGGATTGGTTCGGAAGCACTTGCTAACTCATAGATCTTCTTAAAATAAATGCTATTCTAATTCCATTATTTCCACGTTCATTAAGTAATCCAACAAGATTCCTCAAGGTTGAATCCTAAAGTCATTAAGCTCAAAACATGATTCCTCTATGTTTTGAGTTCAACACTTCGCATTAAGAACAAGAACTTGAACAATGTGACTAACCAAATCAAGTCTATCCCTAGAACAAGAATTGATTAGGTGCAAGATTCAGTTCGGGTTTTCAAAAACGTTTTCCAACTGGATTCAAAAACCAAAAATTCATACAACGGGTGATCAAGCCGATATAAGCATTAAGTAAAGAATCATACACAAATAATGAGATTAAAATGCATATATTTAAGAAGGAGAAGAGTTAGTAGTTACATCCAACCAATCCTCAATGAAATTAGCCACTCATGGCCATTACAATTTCTCCAGCAATTTCCATAAGAGATTACAAAGTTGGAAGTGAAAAATCATTCATGCTCAGCGCGCTCAGATCGCGCTCGGCGTCCTTGAAGCAAAACTCATAAGTGAGGGCTGCGGCCACACAAGGAAGGTATCCTCACTCATATATATGGCATGCGTGCCATTGCCAGAAGCAAAACCGTGAGGGCTGCGGCCAAAGCGGACAATATCCACATGCGGGTTGCTGGGGTGTTACAATAAGAGTCTCCACGCCCAGAGCACCCACCTTGTGCCCGACATGCTCCAAACCTGAAAATCAGGAAAAACCAACCACATGCAAACAAAAAAAACATTGCATAGGCTTTCTACAACTCAAAAACAGCTCAAGTTCAACATCCATTCTTCAAACGCAATGAAATCATCAAAACTCCAAATGAACAATTTCTCCGATCCAACTATGGATTCTTAACATTCTCACTCCATATGAGTTCCTAAACTCACATGTAACCAAACAACATACAATCTAGCTTTCCTTACCACTTCAATTTCACCAATAATCTTCTCGTTTTCCACATTCACAACAATAAACGACATACAACACTTTGCTCCATCCTTGTCGCAACCCGAAAATTTCTGATCTCGCGACGTATGGTTTAGACATCCTTTTAAAAGTTTCATCAATTAAGGAATGCCCGGACACCAGACTAATCCTTAATTAATGGTTTTGAAAATAGGTTCATGGAGTCGCCACCAATATTTTACTCAACATTGGAAAAAGAAAAGGTTTTTAAAAGTCCAATAATGGCCTTGATAACCAGAATTAGGTTCGGGGGTCGGTTACGTGTAAGGAAAGTACTAAGCACCCCTACAACGCCCTTAATCGGTACCCTATGACGAAGTTAACATTATAAATAATAATAATATAAATATTAAATCCCCTTTTATTGATGACTATTTACATGCTTGAAATTTAAATTAAACAATTGACTCTAAAATATCTACATGATTATTTTTATTATAACAATATTTATTATAGAGAAGAAATAAATAAAAAAGGAGAAAAAGATTAACTGAAATACCTCTTGAATGAGCTCTATTGAATTAAATCTTCAAAATAGGAAGATTTTAGGTGCTTTGTGGCAACCCTTCACACTACAATGCCTCACAAAAATCTCAAGAAATACAAAAGAGAGGGAGAGAGAAAAAGAGAGAAATTTCGTGCTCTAAGGAGTCTGGACGAAATTTTGGAGTCCCGAGAAATGAGCCCATGCTGTCTATTTATAGACTTCAGAAAGGGTCCAGAATGGCCCGTTCCAAAATCGGAACGGCCCGTTCTGGATATGGCCGTTGTGTGTTAATTTGAACCCTAGAACGGCCCGTTCTGAAATTGGAACGGCACGTTCTAGGAACCAGAACGACCCGTTTTGATTTCAGAACGGCCCGTTCTAGGGTATAAATTAAGCCCATTTGATTGGTTTGGAACGGCCCGTTCCGGGAACCAGAACGACTCGTTCCGAAATGAGAACGGCCCGTTCTGGGTTACAAATTTTAGCCCTTTTTGATACCTCAAAACGGCCCGTTCCGGTTAAGATTTTTGTAAGCCTTTTTAGGTTTGGAACGACCCGTTCCAGCCTATCATTTTTTAGGCCTTTTGCCTGGTTTGGAACGGCCCGTTCTGATTTTGGAACAGCCCGTTCCGGGCCACTAAAACCAATGTATTTGGGCTTTAGGCATTCTGATGTCTTGTCTTATTGTCTGCATGCTTGGGAGCTCCAATTCTTTGATGATAGACGTGTTTCTGCCCTATGGCTAGTCTCCTACACTTGCTTATGTAAAATCCAGTCATCTATGCAGTGTTCGTTCTAGCAATTTGTATCTTTTCCATATATGTAGTAATGTACTTGTAAGTACAATTTCATGCTTATGAAACTAATCAATCTTGAAACTACCTTTGATGGACAAAAGCAATGGCTGCTGCTTCTCTAGTGTGTCTTTTGTTGCTGTCTTTTCAAGTACCATTTTTATTGTCTCCTTGATTTTGGTTCGTCTCCTTTATGTCATATATTGCAGAAGCATGCCCTTGAGCAAAAGGTCTTCAAAACCAGTTAGTACCCTTATTATTTTAGGATAGGTTTGAACTTACTTTTTTCCTCTTTTCCATCCATACAAAACATTTCATGACAATTCCACAAATTTTTAGTTTTATCTGATGTAGGTGGTCATACTGTGGAGATGCTTAATCTATTGGCAGTGTTACAGAAAGATAGGTTTAATCCAAGATTCTACGTTGGCTACTGATAATATGAGTCTTCAAAAAGCTCAGTTGCTGGAGAATTCACTGGCTGCTGAGGTTCTATTTTTTCTGTATCTCTAGAAGTACCTTATATTTAATGAGCTCTATTTCTATGTTTGTTTTTTTTTTGGGGGGGGGGGGGGGGGGGGGGGGG